CCTTCTTGTCTTCCTAGTTGTTTTAACCATTCAAATGTCAAATAATCCTAAAACATACATACTCTCACACACTCTTAAAACGTCTCCAACCTACTGTTAGACCGGTTAACAATACTACTTCAAGAAAATATCACAGTACATACCAGTTGACCTCTGAACACACATCAGTGGATCATACATCAATACATACATGGAACAGCTAATTTTCCTACAAGGGTGAAGGAACCTCAACCATCAAACTGATATCTGCTTTTCTATCCGACCTACGTGCAACAACATACAAACTAGATGATGATCTAAAACTACTCGTTATTGTCCATTACTGCCTATCATACTGCTACGATTAACATTACGTAACTATCATGGCTTTTTAATTTGAAAATAGTGTACACGAGGCAAATTTGTTGGAATATTACACTGATAATTGCAAACTGTACTAAAAGTCATTATTGTCTGGAATAGTGTTCATTATTATTATCATCATTGTTATTATTATTAATATTAATAATTCATGTCAGTAGGCAAAAATGAGATGTAATCTGATCGTTTAGAAACTTTTATTGAGAGACAAGTTTTTTTTTCCAAGACAAATCATGATAACACTTCTATAATATTAAAACTAGCTAACAATAGCAATTCTACGTAGTCTAATCACACGTTTATCTCCCATTTTACATCTGCTCAACTACGAATAATAAGTATGTTTCCATGTGATGTATATACGGAGACGGTCTTTGTGGAGATTTAATTCAACACCGTTATTATTTATCCGTTGGGTTCCTAGTGGAACATTGGACTTCAATAGCACGTCGCCACTTCACTGTCTCTTCTACAATCTTCTCAACCTGGCTCCACCACTGCCTGCTCACAAGCCTTCATTTCTCCCTCACACCATCTCCTCCATATCACCCTCGCCTCCAATACCAAACTCGTCATTTCCCATGAGGGTTCCACTCGACAGCCTCACCTGACACGTGATGTCTCCAAATGGTCGGTCTTCTCACTGTATGTCCAATACAATCCATCTCCACTATCTTCTGCATATTTCTTCGCCATGGGTTCTTCCTTAGTTCGTTCGCTCCCAGACTTCCTTCTTCATTATTATTCTAGCCATTGTTCTAGCCATCTACCTGATTTTTAGCACACAGCAAGCGTAGGTGGCAGCTGTTGATGAATGTCTGTAGTTTGTTGGAAATGCTGTTCGTAACGCGCCAAGTCTCTCAACCATCACATAGAAGCACTGACATTAGTGTTGAAAATCCTGATCTTGTTCACGCTTTGTGCTCAGTGCAGTGCAGTGCAGTAGATCTCCACAGTGATCTCAGACTAATGAAAGCCTGTCTTGCTGTCTTTCCGATCCTGGATGGTTTGGACATCCTCATCTGTGCCACTGCTTCTAGTTGAAACGATGCTGCCTTGACGGGTAGGTGAGAGAGACCACTTCATTTAGGTTTCTCCCGTTCATGGTGATCGCTGCTTCTTCTTGATGCTGTTGTTGCTTGGGTATCTATCTTCATCACCTCTGTCTTCCCTACGTTTACCTAAAGAAAGTCCTGTCTTCGCTGCCCTGCCTCACCTCTTCTCTCAACTTGTTACTTTTTACCTGTAGATCTTCGAGTTTCTGTGACAAGACATCAGACATAAATCATCATCATCATCATCATTGGCGAAATCCAATTCTTCTTCTCGGATCTTTCCATCGGTCAAACACAGTATGCCTCTCTTCTCACAGTTTGTTGCATGATTCGGTCCAGTCCAGTCTAGTCGATTCGACCACAATCATGAAGATCATCAGTGATAGTAGGCGACAGCCTTGTCTTACTCCTGTCTTCACTTCAAAGGCGTCATTGAGCTTTCCATTGTGAGTCACTTGGCATGTAGCATCATTTAACATATAGCTGTTGAATGAGGTTCGTGGCAGTGAAACCGTAGTGTTGAAGCAGCTGCTAAATTACCTATCGGCCAACGTTGTGGATGGCCTTTTTGAAAGTCGATGAAGTTGATGTAGGGAGTTGGCTGCCACTCTAGGCTGTCTTCTTTGATATTGCGTAGTCTAGCATTAGAATTTGATGCGCACATGATTTGTTTTTCCTGAAGCCAGCCAGGCAGCGTGTTCCGGTCGTAATTTTGATTGCAGAGGAATTTTTCCGTCTCTCCATAATGATGCTGCTTAATATTTTGTTTTGGGTGGAGAGGAGTGGGGCATGATTGCGTGGGAGTTCTTGTAAAGACTGTGGTCTCTGTTGTTTGGGAGTTTGACTAGGTAGCCCTTCTTGCAACCAATGGGCAGGCACCTTTTCTTCCAAAGCGGTTGCGTCTGTTTTCAGTGCTTCTGGTGGAATTCCGTATGGTGCCGCTGCTTTCCCAGCTTTCAGCAACTTTATGGCGTTCAGGACTTTGGCTTTTGTTCACTAGTAATTCTGTGACTGGTAGTGGTATCTCTGGACGGGTTGCAGGCAGTGGTGGTAATTGTCGATTCAAGAGTTGTCTGAATTGATGAGCCCATTGTTTCTTTTGTTTCTCCTCTTTAGTAACTATTATTATCATAATCATTATTCCTGGCATTTTCATTCTCATCAATAAATAAATAAACCCAAAATATCATTTTATCTTCTTTCTTTTCCCAGTCAATAAGAAACAAAATTAACTGTGCGTGAGTTTGTATATACATTTGTCTCACTGAAATTGAGGAGGAACAAAAAAAAGGAGGTGGTTAACAAAAAGAAGAAAGAAAGAGACACAAGTAAGTGACACTCCAAAAAGAAGAATACAACCTTCTCCATAATATCCTACTTTTTTCTCATAGCTTGGTTATCCTATCATGCTTTGAGTTTCTTCTACTCAAACCACTGTTTTGCTTTTAATTGCCAAGTGGATATATCTGTATTTAAACAATATAATTCCTTCTGTTTACTTTTTGTTTTGTTTTAAGACTATGCTTCTCTTCATACAAGAAAAAGTAGCGGAACGGAAATGTCATTTAGTCTAGAAAGCCTAAGAAAGAAATTACAATGAGGAGTTTTGTCTACTTAAACAAGACAATCATTCTCGAAATTAATTAATTAATTAATTAGTGTTAGATACAATGATTGAACAAAGTGATAACAATGTGATGCAAAAAATAATTCTACTGAATGGAGAAAATAATAATAGTGAAATATAGTTGTCAAATAAAGTGAGTAATTTATTTTATTGATTATTAAATGGTCATGAAGTGAACTCATGCATAATTAAAACAGTCTCTGATAGGAGTAAAAATATTCATATCTATCTAGAGCTTTGTTAGCATTCAAGTATCAAAAAAATGATAAGACTATATATTTAAGGGATGGAGAACAAGATGAATTGAATGCCTAAACCATGATAGATAGGATGTAGTTCAAGCCAATGCAGTAGCACAGCTTTCTTGATTTCAGGTTGATATTCATTAAGGACTAAAATCAGTTGGAGAAATTTTGGAAATCTGAGAGCACCAGATAGCTGTTTTGTCCCACGATAGAACTCCGCAGTAGTACACACCCATGATTCCCCCATGGATAAACATACCTTTAATTATTACAATAAACAATTCTACTTTGTGATAGATGTTAAATGAAACGCTAGATGTTATAGAAGTTATTTCTTCCACAACTCAATCAAAATACAAATGAAAAAGTGTTGAATACACCACACTGTTACATCCAGTGAACGGTTCATGCTGACGTAACACTCTAATACACAATCTAAATATGCCACAGTATTATTTGGTATATTCTTTCTATGATCATCTATATCGTAAGACTCGTTGAAAATAAACACGCCTGTTACTCATAGTAGTAGTAGTAATAATAATATCAATAATAATAGTAATAGTAATACAACTCAACTTGATACAGGTTTGTGCACTAGACAATTAGCCATAATTTTTGTATGAAAACTGATGGCATTACCCATTGCCTAGGTTGAAGTAAACAGACAGACATTTTAATTCTGGACTCATTGTTTCGAAGTTGAATGCTTAAGCCAATAAACAACATCATACTGTTATTTATACTTAGTGAACAGTATGTAGTTTGAAGTCGTAAATACTGAGTTTTAGTATCAACGGGGACACTAATATTCACCGAAATGTAGAATAGTCAGTTGAGTGACTTCGCATTAAAAAAAAAATTAGTATCCTGGATCTCACTATGGAACAAATATTATCACACCCTACTTAAAATAGTAACTGAACTAGATAGTTGAAACTTTACCAAAGTCTTGGTTGTATTGTGTTCTCTGAGCTTAGAGAATACAATACACCCAAGACCATCGACCTGAGCTACAAATATTCTACCAAAGTTCTCTCCCAAGTCTGATAAATAAGTTGAATTTAAGTTTGACTACCAGTTACAAAGTGCTTAGACAAAACCAATGTTTCATTGAAAATTTATAGTGCTGATAAATAAATATAAACAATGATAGTAGCAGTGTATCCACTACTTTCCAAAACAACAGTAGAAAAAACCAAATTGATCAGATGAAATCAAGCCTAATATATGTGATGGTACAAACAGGTGGAAGTAAGTTACAGTCACCTACTGTATAAAAAAAAAGAGCAAACAATGAAAAATGAATACAAGTACAGAATTTGGACAATGGTAGAATATAATCCCACATTAGATTAGTCTATCTGATATAGTATTATTTACTAGATGGTATTTTGATCAGAATTTATTGGTCATAATCAGATCAAGGTATGATTATTAAGTACAGGGAATAAATTCTGCTCGAAATATCATCTAGTAAATAAGACTAAACCATCGTGTACTACCTATATCAGATAGACTAATCAAATGATGAACACATACAACTGACTAATTTAAATAAAGTTTGTCACTGCATAAAAATACTTGAATACAAAGTGGATAAATATCCTTTAGAATGATTGAAATGTAAGCCAATTTTAAGATTCCCAGTGAAATATTGATAATTCAAAAATCTATCATTTTAACAACTAAGTTTGACAAAAAAAAACTTACTAGTGTCTGCTTCAGAAACGCTTTTGTACGCTTACGTTTCGGTACACCACATCTACGAGCTCGTTTACATGTCTGTTCAATCATGGAAACAGTTCTAGGATTACGTGATTCACAAAGTTTAGTATATTCCTGAGAAAAGGAAGCAAATATTTAGGTGAAAATTACACTTCTAACCTGAATGATATTCAGAAAAATCATTAGAAGTCAAAGAAAAACTTATCAGCACGGTTTATATATACAAGGTATAAGCTTGTATACATCGTTTCATAGGAGCTAGCAAGAGAAATAACAGCAAACAAAATACAATATCACAACCAGGTGTATGAATTTCCCTTACTAACTATTATCATCGATGCGTACATGCCCACATTTCAGAATCGGTTAACTCTAAAAGTCACAGTTTCCCAGTAGAACCATGACTCAGTTAACTTTTAATCTATGGGTTACGCGTTCAAACCCCGATCCACCTACCGAAGTTCGGTTCGGGCAGTCACACAACATCATTAGCCTTCATTGCTTACTGCACCAGCGTGCGTATGGCAGCTGAATGCAGTCCATTCACTCATCATTGATTGAAACTTCGCAAAATTTGTCTCGAAACTAACCACCAGTGGGTATTGAATTATTAATGAATTGGTTAGTGAGTGTGAAACTGACCAATTACTCTATTCTTGTCCAATAACTAGATTTTCTTGTTTCTACCACCCCTCTGCTAAATTTATGTTTCCCTGGTTCTTGTACTTCTGTATTCTACACCGATTCAGTCAGTGAGCTACTGTGAAAAAACTGTTGTTCAAGTGAATGACTATGGTATATGAAAAGCTAAATTGAAAAAAATACTGTGAAACAACTGATTTATTCAGTTCAGTATGTAGCAACAAAGAGAGCGTCAAGATAACGATACTCATCATTATCATCATCATCCATCAACATAGGACTAGGCATTACTTCATAACAGTCGCAGTTGCCAAACCTCATATCACTACATCAAGTAAAAAGGCAATGAAGTGGAAGATGAAGAAAAGAAAATTCAGTCAAAGGAAATATAAAATACTCAAAGAGAGAAAGGAAGAATGAGAAAATGATGAGATTCGGTATAGCTTCGTTAACATGAGGATAGTGTGTGCATACATCTGTGCCACTGACATCGGTTCTCAGCCATATCACCTAGAGTAATTCTCCAACCACTGCTTCCTCTTGTCCCACGGAACCCAACCACTTAGTCTGCATCGCTCCACACAGCTCAAACCAACAGTCAAATACTTCATACATTGATGCCATGTTTTAGTCTGGCCACATCACACCTCTTTCCAGCCTGAACCTACTTCGGCCAACATTATGTGATGAGGCAATCGGGGACTAGGCACACAAGTGTCACACTTGTCGCAGCCAACCATCTCAGTCGATGAAGGGTTACGACCGTGTCAACTGACTTACCTCTTCGCTCCAAAACTCTACACATGACCTCAACGTTACTCACGTGGTGACACCACGGAATACGGCGTATACTACGAAGGCAATGGTGGTCAAACATCCGAAGCCTTTTCATGTCTTCCACCTTGAATGTCCTTGAATGGTCGTATTTCACAGCCATAGAGTGGAACAGAGTGGAGTGTTGTGCAGTACACGCAGCCCTTAATATAATTGACAACTGGATACCACGGCGATGCTACAGGTGGCAAAAGCCAGTCATCTTTTGTATTTGTGTAGAAATTTCGTTGGCCACTGAACCACTAGGTGTGATCCTAGTTCTAAGGTAAGTGAATTGGTCGACATACTCAACCTCTACACTCTCACTCCCTACTGTTAGCCGAGGCACCGTTGAATACCAATCCTGGAGTAACAATTTGCCTTTTGGTGGTGAGAAATGCATCGCAAACATTCTCAAATTGTCACTCAAGGTGTCTGGAGACTCTGGATCTTGTCAGCGTCTTCACCTAACAGGACTATGTCATCTGTTTGTTCTAGGTCTAACGAAAATTCTCATGCGATTAGGTCAACCTCTGTGTAGTCAGGTGACAAATGGGAGACCTGCATAAGAACATCTATGATGAAATTGAATAAGAATAGAGAGAGTGGGCAGCTTTGACAGGCACCGCTCGATGAGCACAGCTCACTGGACATCTCACCATAGGCTCTAACACGCCGACAAGTGTTCGAGTAGAGAGCCTTTAATAAGGTGATGTACTTACTAGGCATGCGTTTTGGCGAGAGACACTGCTGTAAGACTTCTCAATCAACGGAGTCGAATGCCGCCATCAAGTCGAGAAGCACAGCTGTTGTTGGGCGTCTGTAGGCATGCCTGTGTTCCAAAACCTGACCCAGTGTGAATATTTGGTCGATACACCCGCGGCGGGGTCTAAAGCTCCCCTGATTTTCTTGGGCTTGCTGTCTTCGAGCTCCACTCAGGTGTCGAAGAATTACAGAACCTAGAATGTTAGATATGTTCATCAGGATGATTTCTCTGTGGTTATGACAAGAAGAGTTCTCGCGTTTCTTGAAGACTGGAATAATCAGTGATTTAGACCAGTCAGAGGGGATCGTAATTGATTTCCATATACTAGTTAACAACGATACCATACATAGTGAAACAGATAATGACTAAAGATTGATTTGATTTACACCAACTACTACTAAGCAACATGTGAGTGTAATTTTCTAACCAACAAGGAAGTAATTCATGTCACTTTTCTAAATCTATCGCAGAGCAAATTTTTGATGCTATATTATTTTCCACATAAATGCTCTTCAGTGCAAACTGTTGTATAAGTGATAAAATATATCAAGCAGGTCGCCTCCTTGAAGAAGCGTTTCAATGATATATAGATGTTACAAAAAATCACTTCTTATGTCTACTGAATTATACACGCCTAGACACCACAAAATTGGCCACTATGAAAATTCAAATAACCTAGAAGCCACTGATCCTAACAACACTGTCATAACCCAGGTTTTCATTTCACCTTCAATCTTCACTCATTATTATAAAAATTTTCAACAAAGATGAACTATTTAATCTTCTGACGTAATATGTCAACCACTTACTATATCAAAAGTCTACTATATGCTTATAAAGGAAATTGAATGATATTTTCGTCAATTAGTGAAATAAATATAGAGTATTTTACATACGGTTAGAGATTTCACACTAAATAAAACCTTAAATTCAATGAACAGTCTCGATACAATGTTTCAATTCTTCATATCTTAATTGATCCTAGATGTGAGCAGGTGCAAAATGAAAATGTAGTTTAACTAGTGAAAACATCAAGAGTTCAAGTATGTAGGAGATGAGAAGTAAACATAACTCAAGTTGTTCTGATGAGTTAACTTGAATTTTTGAAAAGATGAAAACTGAACAGTAATCAATGGCATTTAACTTTAATTTAGAAATTCTCAGTAATTTATATCAACAAATGTTTTGAAAATGAAAAGTATAACCTTCATTTTCCTTATCATCGTTAAATTAGCAAGTTGCAGTTTAGTGATAAACATTTCTAAACTTCTAAGAATTCCTAACAAACAAATAACTAAATCCATCAGTTTGGTAGATTTTAAGCACCCACGTATCACTTAGTTTTTAGATCCCATGAAGTTCTAATATAAAACCTTAAACTATAAAATCAGTTCAAGTGGAGCAGGATACCAAAAATAACATAAAAACTGGCTAACTTTATGCACTGAGTGGAATGAAATTGGAAAATATTCAGCAGTGAACTTTAACACAGTAAATCAACAACAACTTGTCAATTGAAAACCCCAAAGGTTATAGGAACACTTTTTTCGTTCATTACCTCTTTAATATGGTGTTTCCACGTGTAACAATTTCAACCGGCACGCTTATGTGCAAGGTTCTATGCTAACCCGTCTGTTTTGTTACTTTCATCCAACAGGTTATAAGATAAAATTTCACTTCAAAAAACACCATGATTTGGGAGGCTATGCAGCATTGTTAACTGTGAATTCTAAGTTGCACTGTCATTATTATAATGAGTACTATTACTATTATTTAAACAAGCATAAACTGTAGAAAAGTTTGAAAATTTAAATCGGCAATAACAAGCACTGGATAGTGAGTAACACCTTAAAAGTGAGGGTTAATAGCTGCCCTAAACTCTATTAGTGGAGCAAGGTTTGAACCTCCAACTAACTGATTGAAAATCAAGTGACTAAACCAATGAACTACAAACGTAACAGGTATAGAATCAAGAAAGTGAAACCAACTGCTTTTAGAAACAAAACACTATCATTTATAATTTATATACATAAAATAACAGATAACACCAAAGTATTTTTCGTAGTTCTCCATTAATAAACACGGACGTACGTAATATTCTATCATACTACAATAGTGGTAAAAGGATAACTTTCATTTTAGTGAAAAAAAGTTCCATCAAAAAGTTACCCTAAACCTTTCATGACAACTGGATACCAGTCAACAGCCGTCTATGTGCTATTCGACTGAATGGATCTGTAGAGACTAAGAAGGATCGTGAGATTAACCGATACCTATTCGTAATCTCCGAACATGTACCCACCGATTGCAGTTCAGATGACTCAAAAGATGAATTCTATGAGAAGCTGTCAATTTCGCTACAAAAAGCAAAACGTCCAGACATCGTCATAATGACTTTAACGCTCAAGTAGAGAAGCTGAGCCAGTCGGAAAGGTATCTTTGGGATACTTATGGTGTCCCATTTTTAACGAACAGATAACAGCGATAGTCTGTCGCAATTTCGTTCTTGTTTCTTGTTTGGAAGATAAGGATACCAAGTACGTATTTAGGGAGGGATTAGCTAAGCATTTACCTGAACGTGACACCAATACGCATCCTGAGGAAACATGGAGTGTTATTCAGTCTACTGTAGAAAGTGGTAAAGACAGCTGGTAATCAATATCCAAAGGGTAGCAAACTTCATTAAATTTCTACAACCTCATCCGAACTGATTGATGCAAGAAGACTAATTCCAGCTGGCTCAGACCACAATGAAGAGCGAAAGCAACTGAAACCTAAAATGACCAAGAGTTTTCGCAATGATAGTGAGCAGTGATGAGTGGCGAAAGAGAGAAAGGTGGAGAAGGGATCACCATTGGATAACACCTGGCAATTATTTAGGCTTATTAAGGTT